GCAAAAGCTTGTGAGGCTGCAGACGCATCTAGTACTCTCTTGGTGACTCTGGCAGCATTTTTCCCTGAGCTGAATCGCTACTCCGACTAGGACAGTGAGTTTAGGCAAAGAGCAGTTGTCTGTCTGTGTTCCAAAACACCAAACAATAAATTAACATGGCCATCTTCCAAGCCTGTTGTAAAATATCAGATGAAGAGAGGCTGGAATTTAATTTCCCCCAAAGGGGATGAGAAAAATCTGAATCGATTAGTCATTATTATAGGCCCCTCTGACTTAAAATATAAAGTTATATTTAATAGTAGTAAGCCTCTGAGGAAAAAAGAAATTAAAGCAGAGATCATACATAATATTATGGATTCTAGAAGGGGGTTTTAATTATTTAAGCCTACACCTTCCTTTAAATATTCGAGGAATAAGGCTTGGCCATAAAGTGAGTTATATAAGTTATCCAGCTAAAAATTGGTAGAGTCTAAGTCAAATATTGCCTCTACTCAACTGTGTTATTTCTTACCATCTCAATGTCATTATCTGAATTAGCTGTGTTATGCAATAAAATGAAATACTATTTAATTAAGATTCCCTGTCATCTATTCTAAAACCAACCCTTATACTTACTTGTATGGTTGTTTACAAAACTGTCTCTTAAGCAGCAACAATGACAAGTGGAATGAGAAGAAAGGAGGAAGAAGAGTGGGAAACTGGGTTTTCCTTTCAGGAAAATCATAAGCAAATGTTGCATGAGCAGTTTTGAACTCACCCCATTCAAGAACAATCTACCTATAGTGCAACCTGCCTGGGTTAGCACTCAGTGGCCTTTCTCCTAGGTTTTAGCCAGAAAGTACCAGATAGGGAAACCATTAATCTCGTCTGACCACTAGATTTACAAAACTGTCACATCAGAATTGCTTCAGGCTCTTTGCTTACACTTAATCTTCCTAGGCTCCCAGGTCCTACTACTCTTATTCACAATGTGAAAATTCCCATGTGGTACTTTTTCTTGGCTTGGAATAAATTCACTTGGAGAATAAGCAAAGCAAAAGCAACAACCCAGATAACTGCATGGCCCTGAGAGTTTAAGAGCAATGAGGGGGAAGAGCTACTTCCCTTGGGTGTAACTGCTGAGCATGTTAAGTCACCAAACCAGGCAAACACCGCTGAGACTTGTTTCAGCAAGAGTGTGAACTACGGGGAGTTCTTTCTGAGCTTCGGTATACCTATTTGGATTTACTGCTATATTTCATGGGAAAATAGAGCACAGACAGAAGCCTTGATCCTGAAAAAAGTGAAATAGTGTACCATAACATTTGCTACTGAGAACATAGGGAAAGTGTGGTATTTGCAAAAAAAAAAAAAAAAGTGGCAGGATTGAGTTTCCTTGCAAGGACCCAGTAAGTTACTTAACTCTGAAAGGGCTTCTTGATTTTTACTTAACTCTGAAAGGGCTTCTTGATTTTTAATACACGTGAAAATAACGTCATGCATGAGTAGGAATGACCTGAGACCCTCTAATCAACAGGTCACGGGATTCCTGGTATTACTTACCAGGAGTATATCGTTCTGAGAACTGAATTTTCCCTAAGCCTTTCTCAGCTTTCAGCAGTCTAAATCCAGGCATCCTTGCTTTAGGCTTTCATGAATATCCAGACTAAATAACAGTTGGAAAAGAGAAGTAAATATTTGTCTTTTAGGGGACATGGTAACTTCTGCAGGAAATGGGATTATAGGCTGTGTTTCCACACCCTGTAGTAACTATTGAACCTGATAGCTACCTGGTTCAATATCATCACCTGAAGTCCTATATCGAGGATCTGTGTGACCTAGATCATTGCCTGGATTCTCTGATGCTCTTTGCATGGGGAGGACATCCTCAAAGATCTAAGATAAAACCTTACCTTGAGAGAGAAGCCATTCTTCTCACTGATTGGATTTGATTCGTTGAATGGTAAGTAGGTAACCTATGATGATTTCACTTGGGTTTCTCAATGGGCAAAAATGAGAGAGGGAAGGATTAACATCTGCTTAGGTTTTCTTCTGAAACAATTCTGATTCCTAAAAAGAGTAAATAAGTCTATAACAAAATGGTGTTGCCAAAGCACTGACTTAGAGACCTCACAGGATGTAGTGTATGCACCTGGCCTGCCATGTCTGTATATAAATATAACATTTATGCATCTTCCAATATTAGTGTATGATTATAATCATTTTTATCTGTGTTGGACCTGTTAATATAAATCTACGCATATAACTGACAGGTCTTACATATCCTTTTTAGAAAAAGTTGTTAGAGGTACAATCTGGATCTATTTGTTCTGTTTATGGCACATATACTGGACAAGGAAAACCCCAAAGGACATGGCATGAGAAGAATGAATGAGGCCTAAAAAAATCAGAGGGCACAGTCATATGTCAGCTCTACATGCATCCTGGATTTTCAAGCTTGTCTTGAATTTGAGAAAGTGTTTATTTTTAATATGTTTTGCTGAATCCAGATAAATGTGATCTCCTTATTAAGGAACTTATTGCATACAGTCTCAAACTAGAAAAACCTGCTTTGTTAAGCTGTGCATCTTGTTTCTCCTGAACACACTGTCCCCTTACAGATTTACAAGCCAACTGGGTAACTAGGAAAAAGCTGAAGACAAAGCAAGCCAAGAGGACATTTAGGCAGAGTCTTGGGAAGATGATCCCGAGACAACTCCTTCGAGAAGCATGTCAGCCTGTCTAAGTGCTAAGCTGGCTTTAAACAGCAAAAACCACAAGCTCCTAGATGCCTTGCTTAGATCCTTCTCACCATAAAAAAAGCTCTTGGGCGCACCACTTAAAGACAATCCTTAACAGTTTCACAGCTGAATCCAAGAACTGTCCGCTTGATCCACAACATTTGCTATAAAGGATACATTTTCCACAGTTACATTTCAGCACATCCTTGGCCACCCTGTTAACTGCCCATATAATGAAAATGAAGACCAATGTCACTTTTTTTTAAAATGCAAAAATCTGCTTAATACTGCTGAATAGCAATCCTTATCCAAAAACAACTAGGGTTTAAGGGACACAAACAATTGGAATCTCTTGTCTCTTGTATGTTCCAAAGGTGTCTGCTTTGGAAAAGTCACAAGGAGTAGGTGATAAAGGGTATGTGATGTTTACAAATATCCTCTCCTTAGAGAATTTGGAGTCTATGACCATTCATGAGTATCTCAGCATCCATCTGCCGGCCTCAGATACCTCCTTACTCCCGTGTGCGGACCAAGGTTCTACACATTCCTTAGGGTTGAATGTGCTTTATTTATCAATGATTCATGTTCAAGTCCTCAGCAAACTCCCAAAGCCCACAACCTTAGGAAAATACTGTGGGTTATTCAATAGAAAATGAGGGGAGAGACATTGAAAAATCTAGCTTGCACAATCAATCATTCAGGATTTGTTGGGTGTCTACAGCATGCAAGGCACTGTACTACTCCAATTATATTATTTATTCTCCCAAACTTTCACAGCCTTGAAAAGGTTCCATCTTTGAGTTGAATTGTGTAGAGCTATGCTTTGTTCCCATTTCATGGTTCAAGGTTGCCCTGACTTTGCCATAGGAATGTCACCTTTATAGGATTTTGCACATATGTCTGTTTTCTGGTCCTTTCCACAGAGAAGACTAGGGCTCTGCTTCAAACTGTGTCCTGTAGTTGGTTTTATGTGCTTTGATATAATATAACAAGAGGCTTTCTACTTATTAGATAAGTGACAATCTTTTTGTTTTTATCAAGAGATGGTATTAAAAGAGGCACAGCCAACACAACTGTTCTCCATGTGTAAGAAGATTAAAATGATTAGGCCTTTTAGTTTGATGAGAATATTATTAAAATAATTTGGGGATCAAAAATGTCTTTTTGTTAGAAACCCAAACAAGAATTTTATGGGGAAACAAAGAAAGTGAAGCAGAGATCAAAATAATCTCACTTGATTTCACTATGCCAGGTGAATGCAAAGCAAACGAAAATGAATTTGAATATTTGAATCTGGTTAAAATTTATGTTGACTGTGCTCCCTTAGTTTTGTCAATGTATACAGTAGTTACATGTCAATTACATTCTAATCCATTATCAAATTTTAAGCAATTTATGAAACATACTCTGAAATTTCAATAATAAATTTCCACAGACTAGGTAGAGGAGAGCAGAGACTCAGTGGGTTCCATAATCAGCATCCTTAAGAGTTTGGCTCCCCTTACGACTCTCTTGGAAACATTTAGCTAAAAAGAGGACACAGAAGATAAATTGTCACTGTTCCCTAAAACAGGTACTTGCTTTTATCAACACATGGGCAAGCTCTACAAGACATTTAAGAATCACTTCTCGAGGCTTCTAGAAGTGCGTAACGAGGTGAAGCACGGAGAACACTTGAAGGAATAACACACTGAGTGTCTGCTCACTATCCCAGATCCCTGGAGTGTACCGCACTGCTTAGTTGTGTCCCCTGGGAAAAGAGCAGCTACGGTTCTGCATCTTGAGAAAAAAAAAAATAAAGGAAGCTGGCAAGAACGCGTCTTCAATTCAAACTGATTCCTCCAGCAGCAACCATTCAGACGATAATACAAGTGAGAAAATTAGATGGTTACAAAGCATTATTTGGCAAAGACACAGCACCATGCCTATCACTGACTCACAACAGATCCTCTAAGCCTCAGCTAACAGATTAAGTAAACATAGAAATATATGCATTTTTTCCTTTTTAAAGAAAGCTTGTTTATATCCTCTTTTACCATAACATACGCTGGGGAGTTTATTCAAGAATTTGTTGAGAGTCATATTCTTATTTTTCACGTTTCCAAGGTTCTTCCTCAACACTGCATTCTGCTGACTTTCCGTTGGCTGCCAGAGTTACCTGAAAATAATTATCATCAACATCCAGCTTACAGGCCACGTACCAGAAAACCACCCCAGGGGTTATGTGGAGGAGCACCAGATCCAGGTTGTACTGCACGACTTATATATTAATTTTAAATGTTGTTCTTCTCAAACTGATTTTGAGCTGATCTTGGTTTTCAACACTGATTTGTGAACATTAAAACACATATATTTGCCTTAGAGGGTAATGAGGGACTGGAGACACTTTGCAATTTGGGGGATATAAACTGTGCTTTTAGAGTTGTGGGTGTGTCTAACTACCCATAGACCCGTCATCAAACAGTAATGCAATCCTTAACAAATAGTGCCCATGTGCTACTCCATACAACCACAGAGAAAAACAATCCAGAACTAGGCAGCTAGTTCTACTCATGCATGTGAAAGGTTCAGTTGCAATGAGGCCAGGTGAATTTTATACACATCCAATTTTAAAATCAGGAATCATGATGGTCTGTTTACCATATAAGCTATCCAGATTTTAAAAATTAAAAATAAAAGAGGGGATTAAAAGCCTGAGATCAGTGACATGTCTATTTAAATTAGTTCAATGCAGACATCTAAAAAATGTAATCACCAGACTGTCTATATTATGCTTCTCTGGCTCTAAGCAAACTGAACCCTTACACAATATGGTGGGGCGGGGGGGATTCCCCTCCACTTCTACACAGTTTTCCTAGCTTACCTTCCATCTGTCTGTCCTCAACGTCATGTGCAAACTTAAACCCACGACTGATATTCCACATAATGGAGAGACTGGATTTATGGAAGCATTAGAATATGGAGATATGACAAACGCAGCAATGTTTGAAAGAAATCTGACCTTTTTCTTACCCAAGTGGCAGTGAAACGCATGCGTTAGGGACACACACAACATGCTAGGAACAGAAGGCCAACTGCCCTTCACAAACCAAGCAAGTGAAAATAAAAATTGGCCATTCCTCCAATCCCCATTGGCCCCTACAGTGTTTCAGAAAAACCATGCAACAAGCAATGACCTCCTCACATGCAGTTATTATGATTAAAATTAAAAAGCTATTGTATAACTTTCAAACTACTCATTACAAGGCAAGAGTTTGAAAATAGAAAGAGCAATGTGACATAACGGTGCTTGAAGTGGTTAAAGTTTTGACCAGAGCTGCAGCAAATTGGTTTCCCCTTCAGTGAACTGTCAGGAGATACTTCCAGGAAGGGACAAACCATCTGCCTGGAGAAAGTTGCCTGTTCACTCAGACCTTGGAATGTGCCTATGTGGCTTTCAGTGATGAACCAGATCAATAGCTGTGCAAAATTATAAATCACAATGTGGTGCCTTGGAAAACTAGACAGCACTTGGGGATGGGGGTGTTTTTTTTTAAATACCGGGTCCTATGTTTCAAAAGTAGCTGGGAGAGCAGCTTTTTTGGCATGGTTGGGTTAAAGGGAGTCGGAACTCCATTCCCCCATCCATTCAACCCCTTTAAATACCGGGGCCTGTGTTTCAAAAGTAGCTGGGAGAGCAGCATTTTTGGCATGGTTGGGTTAAAGAGAGTCGGAACTCCATTCCCCCATCCATTCAACCCCTTTCTGCTCCAAACACCTGGGTAATAGAAAAAAAAAAAAAAGCAGAGGAGGGAACTGCCAGGAACCATTGGCATCTTCCATCTCAGTTTCTAAAAAGCAGTGAGACAGAATGGACCAGAAGGAAGTTCCAAAGCATAAATAAACGTGTTCCAGATACTCTGGGAAAGTGTGCAAATTCATCTCCACAGCTCTGGCTGCCTCTTTCGCATATCAGTGTCAACTCAGTTAGTTGATCTAGAGTGGGAAGAGTCAATTTGCCTCACCTAGCAAAGGCTGAGGACCAACATAGTGAGCTGAACCTAACCATTTCACTAAAAAGTGCAAACAGCTGGAATAGCTATTAAACCAATATGGCCATTTCACCATTTCCATGACATGCTCAGTTTCACCATTTGACCAGCGAAATGCTACTTCGCCGATAAGTTTGCAAGTGGTTGGTTGGGTAGTCAATTATAGAGACTGAGCTACTATCTCTATAGAACGGTCAGCAAAAAAAAAAAAAAAAAAAAAAAGATTATCTGAATTAAAGCATAGGGTCAAGATGCTAAAAGGACACATTCAACAAATATTTCTAGAGAGCCTACTAGAAATATGCCAGGCACTGCTTCAGGTGCTAGGACACAGCAGTGATAAATGGGGACACAGTCTCTCTCCTCATGTAGGCTTACTTCCTATTGATAGCGACAGTTGACAAACATCTCCTTGTGGGACTTGAGTTGTTCTGCTTAAAAACTGAAGCAAATTTTTCCCGATATGCTTGATATCCTTTAAGAAAAAAAATCTAGGACATCTGAAATTTAGAGATGTTTTCATGCCTATACAAAACGATATTATTAAGAAGCCTCTTAAGACACTCCAGAAGGGCCACGACAGAGGCAATTAACCACTAGGATTGCAAAATTAAAAAAATATATGTATTTTCATCTTGTTTCATACTATACTATATTTCCTTGTATGGAAGTAATTTGGGGCCAAGCCTTATCTCCTCTACAGAATAGTACATTCATCTTGCTTTCCTCCTATTCCTAATTCAGGGCTTTGCAGATAATGGCCACTCAATAAACACTTGATGAATAATCAAAATATAGGTCATAGGAATGAGATGGGAGTGCTCATCTAAGCCTCACAAGGCACACAATAAATACTGATTAAATATAACAGAGCATAAAGTCATTCCTTGGGAATGTTGAGTTGACCCAAGCTAACATTTTAATGGGGAATAATCCAGCACATTCATTTAAATGTGGGAAACACTTTCTAGGAGAATGGAGTATACACTTTAAGTACATCTGAATTTCTAATAATGAGCCATTTTCACTGAGTTAATTTACGCGATTGCCTCTTGATGAATGGGGTCCCTCTGGGTGGGGTCCCTCCCTGCTTTGTATCAGAGCCCTGGTTCACTCACACGTGTACCTGATATAGAGGGGATGAGCAAAAGGTAGTGGCTAGTCTGTTAGATTTCTGGACCTATGTTGCTGCCCACTAAAGAGAACTGCTTCTGTGTTAACCTCAGTTGCCCAGCAGAAGCCATCGGATATATTTAGAACAACGTACAAGTAAGACAGAAAGAAATTAACAAATGAAATGAGATCTTGTCAACAAGAGTCAAGAAGATATCAGAAATCTGTACTGAGCCTGGAACCATTTTAGCAACCCAACCCCCAGAGGTGACTCTGCTCACCTGCCAGGGTTTCTCCAAGTTTGCTTCACTCTGGTCATGACACTCTGTCTTTGAGAATGTCAAGTTAGTTACAGTGAATGCTAGACAGAGCCCATCAAGCTTTAAGACTTAGCACCCAACAGCTTGGAAGAGTCCAGAACATCCATGCTTCAGGAAAGATGGCACTGCTGGGCAGTGAGAAATGTAGTGTTTTATTTTTAGAAGACCTCTACAAATGATTGTCTTTCCTTTACTTGAAATTTGTTACCCATTCTTGGAGCAAAGTGACTGCCAAGTCAAAACTCACCTTCCCACAAAAATAAGAGAAAGATAGCTGCGTAGCTATGTGGGCACATTTTTGACCAATACATGATACAAAGAAAGAAGAAATGTTTGTGCTATATAAATCAAATGATTCTGGGTATTTCTCTTGATGTTTCACCTGAGGAATAGACTATTTGAATGCCAGCGAAATCCTAGGGATCACAAATTCTTGGGCACAATATTCAAGAAAACCAATCAAATTTGTGAAGTGGGTGGATGGGGGCATCAGAACGACTGTTATGCATCATATGGATGAAAGAAGTGACTGATTGGCTCTTTCACTGTTAGGCCTGTTGATTTCCAGCCATGTTAGACACAGAGTTAGATGATCTGGGACTCACAGAAGCTTGGGTTACATGATTCTTTAGAAAAATAAATATGACAATAATACGTGCAGGGCTTTGGTATTTGTTTTAAGAAATCGAGCATGCACTATTATATACAGGTCTCGATATCCATGAATGGGAAAGGTACCTTGCACTCATCTACTATGACAGAGTTGTGTGCAGCATAGACACATTGATTAGAGTTGCTTTCCCTATGATTCTTCATGTCATCATAAATGGACTGGGTCTTGGTCATTTCAATATCTTCATGCACTCGGTGCTGGGAATCAATGGTATCCAACTCGGACTTGGAGAGGTGATAGACAATCCCAGCCCCAAAAGAGTCACCCACAACATTGACTGAAGTTCTCATCCTGTCCCTGGGGACAAAGAACAGAAAATGTTTAGTGAGGAAGCAGAACGCTATGGTGGTTGAGAGGCCAAGGTCTAGAACCAGAGTCCTAAGGTTGAGTTCTGGCTCGACCTTTCCCTCTGCCTGATCTGGGGCAAGTTACTTAAACTTTATAAGCCTTCATTCCCTTGTTTATCAATTGGAGGTAACAATCAGACTTCTCTCATAAGGTTGTATGAAAATTAAATGAGAAAATGTATGTAAATTGCTTAGAAAATTGTCTGGTGAATGGTGAGCACCCAATAAACAATAGCAAAGAAAAAAGAGGAGGAGGGAAGGAAGAATTAGAGGAAAATAATGTGTCCAGATCTCAGAATTAGGACCCAGGCTCCAGATACTCCTAGCAATTCCTCTTGATTTAAACTGTTCTTCCAAGACTCCACTTTGAAGATTACCTCCACTTACTTTATTTTCCAGGAAAGAAAAACTACCTGTGAATTCTCCCAACACACATATATACATAGACAAAGTTGTTGGGTAAGAAACTCAGCCACAATTTTCTCCCTGACCAATATGTGTAGTGACTATGTGGCCTGGAAAACTCAAAATACATTGTTTTGCTTTCTTTATTAACCTAAAAAACCTAAATCTTCCAGAGTATCTCTTGAACCAGGAAGTGTTAAGAAAAATCCTTCCTGAAATCTTGTTTTTCAAGTTCTGATTTGAAAAAAATAAAATGTTTGCTAACTCTTCCTCTTAGAAGGTCAGCACCAGCAAAACTAATTAAGTTCTTAAAAGTAAGCTATGTTCTCTCACCCATAATTTGAAAACAGTGTGAAGAGTCTTTTTGACCATGTTGATGATAATCAAAGTTCTAAAGAGAAGAATGCTGGAAAACCACACACACACACACACACACACACACACCCCGCGGGCGGCCGCGCGCGAAGGATTTTCAGTAAAGATGGTGCTGCGGCATTCTAGTCTAGGACACTCTAGCCTTCGATTCTGGATTTTCAGTAAAGATGGTGCTGAGGCATTCTAGTCTAGGACACTCTAGCCTTCGATTCTAAAAACATATATATAAGGATGCTAGACTTAGCTCAAGTCAAAGTAGAAACTTTAATTGGTTCTTGGAACAAAGGCTTAAAATAAATTCTAGTTGTTATCAAATTTATTTCTCATTACAGAATAATAACAATGAAGCTGCACTAGGAGAAGTCTGGCCTGACTCCCTTGCAAAGAGCTTGTGAGCCAGCTGTCCTTCTGGTTTCAAGCAAGAAAATGTTGCCCATCAGAAAATACAGGTCAGAGCCCAACTTCAACTCTCGGGGGCATCTCTCCATCTGAGAATGCTCTTTTCCTCCCTTCTGCTTTGGAGAATTTGCTTCAGGATGTGTATGAATGAAGACTGGGTCTTGGGGTCATTCACAAAAATCAGGTACTTGTGGAGATTGTTAGAAAGTCCCAGTATAAGGGAATGAGGAGGAATACATGACAGTAGTTAAGGAAGAACATGTACTCTGGAGGCAGCCCAACTTGGATTCAAATGCCAGCTTTCTCCCTTACCTGTTGGACAACCCTGATCATATTAACATTCGTGAACCTTAGTTCCCTCATCTATAAAATGGAAATAATAAAAATGTCTACTACATAAGGGTTGTTGTGAAAATTAAATCAGATAACAAAGTGCTAGCAGTTCCAGACATTTAGTAAGAACTCACAAAACACTAATTATTACCTGACATGTACTTTTAACATTACTGTTAATCTCACTAAGTCAATTTCAATATATTTTTGGCAACTCCCAGATAGAACATCTAAATGTGCCTGGTTAAGCTACTGTCTCCTCCTGAAAACATTAACCCTGTTTATAGGACAGTTCTTCTGGCAACACTCCCAACTAACCAGCTGAGTTATTTGTCCACCATACGGTTAAAGTCTACTTTATTGTTTTTCAATTATACTTTCAATCCCTCAAAGAATGTGTTCTGTGTCATGTACCCTACAGCCTTGACTAATTGTTAAATTCTGGAGTGCTAAAGTCTTCAAGAGGAATGCTCTGAGTACTCATTTATCTCATGGCCCAGAAAAATCTGCCTTATTGGCAAGTAGAACAATCAAAGGTGCTGTTGGCGGTGGTGGTGATGATGATGATAATGATGATGATAGCTAACATTTATATCACATTTAATATGTATAGAGATATGCTTTATAGATATTACTTTACTTAATCCTCACCACAACTCTATAAGAAGTATTATTTTCCACATTTTTTTTTAGAGGGAGGAGAATTTATTGCCGACCAAGTGCATGGGGCTTAACAGCACCAAAGCATGAGCTCCCACATCCCAGAGAGATTAAGAGGCTTCCTAGAGTCACACATCCTAGAAAAGTCATAGAACCAAATTTGAACACAGGCACTATGACTGCAGAATTCACTGTCTGCCACATGATGCAAAGGACCTGGGAGCCACACAGCTCTGATTTTGAATCCACTTACTAACTGTGTGATCTGGATGACTTTCTCAACCAGAATTTTTCTCATGCAGTTAAAATAACTATTTTATGAGATTTGAGAAAGACAAAACCAGTTACTGACCTATAGTTGATACTCATTATGTGCTCTTTCCCCTTTAGGTAGAACCATCACTCATACCCCATCAAGTGGGCAAAAGCATGAAATACTAAGCTTAAGGATTAATAACTTTTTCAGTTTAATAAATCCATTTCCACTCAAATGGGTAATTCAAGTGTACAAACTCCTGTTTCCTCAGCCGTTGACTTTTTTTGAAACCAAATCGCTCTTTGAGCAGCCACTGAACCAAGTTTTGGGGAGAGAATTTCTGGGTGAGCTTTCCCCAAATTCACCCACTGCTCATATCTCTTCCACACTCTCATATCTCCTTTAATTTGAGGTGGAACTCTGGCCAGTGAAAATAGCCATCAGGACAGGAATGAATGAAAGACAGAGTTGGGTCGAATCAAAGCATACTTATATTTGACACCAAAGTCAAGATGGAAAGGACCCTGAACTTAGGGCTAAAACTTTAACCCAGATCTTCTGGTTCTCTTACCTTAAGCAAATCACTTCTCACCTGAGCATGAAATATAAAATAAAGCTAATTCCAACTTCACAGGAGTTTGTGAGGCTTAAATGAGAGAAACACTTGGCTTGCCTTACATACTTATTAAAGATTGCAGGAGCATAAGAGCATGAAAATGGCTAAGTGGAAATAAAAAGAGAACATAGGCTCTAATATTTTCTGTGCTCTTCATTAGTTCATTCATTCATTCACTCATTCATTCAATAGATGAATAATGAGCATCTTCATGTGTGCAAGGCACTATGCCAAGTGTCCAGGCAGCAAAGAATAAGACAAGACCTTTCCTATGCTTCCTTCTCCCAAAGAACCCATACTCTCTTTACTTGTCTGTGTTCCCCACTGGAGTAAGATAAATGTTCTATAGGAATAAATGCTGGTTGCTATGGGGTTTTGTAGGTAGGAGACTTTACCCACAGTTAGGCCCCAGGAAAGGCTTGAGTGGAAGTGTCTCGAGTTAGATCCCAAGGGTAAGTCTGAGATAATGAGCTAGAAAAAAACAGAAAAATAATACATGTGAAATCTTGGAGGAAGGAGCACTGGCAAGTGTTCAGGATCTCTGGTGAGTGTGGTGAGAGGCAGAAAGTAAGGCTGATCAAAGTTAGGACTTTATTCCAAGTGTAATGAGGAGCCACTGAAGAGAAAGAGTACACTCGTTCCATTATGAAGAATGGACTAAGCAGGGAAAGACCAAAAGAGTAAAATCCACTTAGTGAAGAGATAGTGGACATGGAGAAAGATGAATTTGAGAGAGTTAGGAGCTAGAATTACAGGACTTGAGGGTTGATTGGTCACAGAGAATAAAAGAGAAAAGAGTAAAAGACTCCTCTCAGGTTTCTGCTTTGGGCAGCCAGTGGACAGTGCTACCATATTTATGGGCATATGTCGTTAGGATGGGAAAGATTCTGGTGTCGGCTTGAACATATTGAGTGTGAAGGCTGCAACCTAGCAAAAGGGAGATGTCCCACAAGTGGTTCTGAATATGGACTAAAGATCGAGAGGGGCATCTGAGCTGCAGGTAGTAAAGTAGGAGTAAGAACACCTAGAGAGGCCACGGGTGGACACCACAGGCAGGTTTAGTTTATCCTTGGAGAGAATGCGGAGTGAGAAGAGAAGAAAATCTAGTCTAGAACCCTGAGGGTAAACAACACTTAAGAAATGAGCAAAGGAATAAGAGTCAGCAAAGATGTAAGGAAAGTAGAAGAGTTTGGGGGAAGCGTGTTTCAAAAATTAGGGTGTAGTGGACAAAGACCATTACTGCCTAGAGGTCAGGTAACACAAGGAAAAGAAGCGTCCCTTGGTTGTAGCAACAAAGGTCATTATTGACCCAGCAAGGGCAGTTTCAATACAGAGGCTGAGAGAGAAGCCAGCTCACCATAGGCTGAAAATTGAATGAGAGTTAAGGAAGTGGAGACATTATACATAATCGAGTTACTCAAGGAGATTGACTGAGAAGGAAAGGGGATGGTAGATGGAGGACAGAAGATGGAAGAATTTTCGGTTGGCTTCTGTGGCCACCAGGAGAATGTCTGACTAACTCTGGGGAAGTTTGACTCTGGCCAAAAGCAGGATATGGGAGTTTATGGTTCACATGTGGAAAATTTCTTCACAGGCAAATACTTTCATTTTCTCTCACAACAGCCCTGACCGTTTAGGAAACCCTGATGACCTCAGGAGCTTGTAGGCTACCTAGTAGAAAGAATTATAGAGTGCTTGATGCTATCCTTGGGTCTGGATGCTATGTGTCAGGGCGGAGATGAGAAGGGAACAGAATGTTTAATTGAATGGAATTCACTACAGATGACTATAGCTTTGGGGGCCGCCAGGGACCAAAAATGAGAGAGGGGCTTGACTAAGCTGTTTCACACTGAGGCACTGGGTCTGGTTCTCTGGAAGAAAGGCCAAAGGACTTTCTCTCTCTTTT